AAAGCCAATCTTATTGTCGAAACCGACGCGTCTGATTTAGGATTTGGTGGAGACTTAAAGCAGATTCCAAAAGAGAGAAAAACAAAATAGTGCCAATATAGATTGGTACAACAAAGTTTTGGAAGATATGGCTTCTTCCACTTCAACTACTTCTTCAAAAAATAAGAAAAACAAAACCAAAATTCCTTTACCTACTCCTTCAATTACTGAATTCATTCAAAAATCCAACAAAAATACACTTGATTCAAAACAATCTTCTTCAAATACCCAAAATCTTTCTTCAAATAGATTCTCTGTTTTTAACAAGAATTCTCAAACTCCAGAAAAACCTTCAAACTATAAAAAAGCTGTTCAAGTTGGTTCTGGAAAACTTCCTGAAATCAACATAAAACCTTTTCAATATTTTACAAAAATTTTCGTGGAATCTGTCATCACGATGGAACCATCCTGGATTGAAAGATATTCAGATCTCAATGAATGTATTTCTAACATTTTTCCTCCATCATTTCAATATCTTCCATATTCACTTCAAAAATCTCGTGAATTTTATGAAAAGATCCTTCTCAAAACTGGATCTGCAGTTATTACTCACACTCCAAATAAACAAAATTCCAAACATATTGATTTCTCAAAAATTTCAATTTGCAAAGTGTTGTCACTTGATGACTGGGGTCAACACTCTTAGAATGAAAAGAAAATGAGTCTCTCAAAAGGTGAAGATTTTTCTTCTCATTTCAATTATCTTGATTATCAAGATGTCTAGCTTAATGTTTTCTACCTTAAACCAGTGAATTACTCTTGGTTTATTCTTTTTCACCAATTGTGTCAAAAAAAAATTTCAATATGGTTTTAAAATTGGTTTGAACACTTTGGACTTGAAGATGATATTTTGCCCTGTCCCTCTCTTCAAGAGTTCAACCATTTCAAAAATGAGGCAAAATCATTTTTATCGCCTCAAGAAAGTATTTTGTTTCAATTTGCCCATAATTTTAAAGTCTCATGGATTTTCTGTTGAGACTTTTTTATAGTTCAAAATGACATCAAAAATTGTGATTCAACTCAAAATACAATTGATCAATATTCTCCAAAAAGAATTATTCAACGATTCAAAATAAAATGGTGGTCTAAGTTTCATGAGACAAATTGTTGTCCAAAAGCTGTTGAATCTTGGATCAAACAAAAGAAAAATGAAGAATTTCCTCAAGTTTCAAAAATTCAAGAAGAAGCTCATGCTGACTTCCTTACAGAAAAGAGTAGACTTTTGACTTTTCTTGCTCAATGTAACAATCCTGAAGAAATGACAATTTTGGCAAAGAAAATTACTTCCCTTGCTGAAAACGCTTCAAAAGCTTCAGTTCAAGAAACCTTTTCTGAAGAAAGCTTGGAAGCAGATTTTGATTATTTTCAAAATGAAGATGACTGTTATGGAATTGATCTTGATGCAGACATCGAAGAAGAAATTCAAAAATCTCAAAAGACTAAATGACTACCATGTCAAAGTTATTTGGATGAATTGAGAGGATTTCGTGTTCATAATTCAAGATTGATTCTCTCAAAAATTTGCCAGCTCAAAAGAATGGATCATCAAAATCGACAAAAGAATTATCAACTTTATTAAAGTTTAACTTTATTAAAGTATCTTTTGTCATCTCAAACTTTCGGCGGAAGATGAAGACAAAACACTATTCCTACTTTTAAAAAAAATAGTCAACAAAGAACTGTTCAATCAAGGCCTCAATCAACTGTTCAAGATTCCTCTTGTGTTTACTTTTTCAAGTTATAAATTCAATGTAAACTTTCAATTGTAATCAGAGTTTAGACGGGAGATAAACTTCTCATTGCAAGATTCAAAAGTTTCTCTTTGTATTACTTTTACTTTCAATAAAATTCTTGTTCAATTTCAATAAGATTTTCTGAGTTTATTTTGCTTTTATTTTCATTCCGAATTACTATCCTCACCTGGGTCTAATTTGCTATATATATTTAAAATGTTTATATCCAAAATTGATTGGACCTAGGGTATAACACTCACATGCGCAAGAGGAAAAGTTCGAGTGTCGTCGATCGCAGATTCCTTGGAGCTTCGATTCATCTTCAGTTGTATATTTATGAGAATCACAATGCAAATACCTTTTTCACTTCTCCATTATGATTAAACTACTGCAATAGTTTATTACACTGGATCATTAGAGAAACTCGATGGAAATGCAAATGGATTCATGAAAGCAAATTATACTCATTAAATCATGACTGTGTGTTGATTAGATCTATATATAATATAATTGAGTGTGTTGATTAGAACTGTATATAGTAAATTTAAGAATCACTGTCGAGCAGCAACGTTGCCCGATGGCAACAAAGTGGTAACGGTGTCGGCGGCTATAGAGAAAAATGAGAGGAAGTTAGGGTTTGGGTAAGGATTTGGAGGCGGGGCTTCTAGTGAAATTTTTGAAATTATAGGCCTCTGCTTGCAATTTCAAACTGGGAGTGAATTTACAAATGGCAGCAAAGGTGGTTGTGGTGGTGGTAGTGAATAACCAGTTATTTGAATAATTATGACTAATAAATTTTTTAATTTGTGATGGTTGTGATGTTGGTTACAGTGTGATGATAATTCAATGTTAAAATATATCGAATATTGCCAAAATCAACACATCATAAATCGGACTCGAAATGAATAGCAAAGTGAAAGTTAAGTATTCAAGTCAAATCATTCGATATGAGAGCTTAAAAGATCAAAATCAAGATTCTCGAATCGAGCTCATGAAGAAGGTCAAGATCGAAATCAAGCATTAAAGCCAAACGTCAAGAGATATCAAGATCAATAGTTTAAGAGCCAAATATGAAAGAAATTTCGAAACAAAATCAAGGACACTAGGCTTTCGAGATCATATGTAAAGGTATAAACACTTTGATATTTAGTAATGAATGACAATAACTCAAAAATCATATGTAAAGGTATAAATTATATTGCCACTATCTGCAAGATACATGATTAGTTTTGGTCATGTTCATTATCAACCGCTTAGAAAAACTCAATTGCAACAACCCGCTGTCAATTATGCGCTCTTCCACTTTGGAGGTGACCACTTGAAGGACATCCGTTGATTCTTGAGTTTCTTGAGCTATCAATTTCTAATATGTTGAAAACAAGCTTTTTATTTCGATGTTTTGGATTGTAAAGTTTAAAATAAAAATAAATAAATAAAAATATANTTTCTCTTTGTACTCAACTTATTTATATCAATCTTAAAAGAGAAATATATTTTTGAAGAAGATCTCGGCACTTACATTGTATAAATCTTTCTACTTATTCAAGTCGAAAACTTTGATTGATTGAATCATATTTGCAAAGTCATTATATTCATCAAAGTTTTTTTTTCTCTTTTAATACTTGATTTATTATAATCATTCATTGAAAGAGTGATATATCTTGAGAAGATTCTTTGAACTTACATTGGATTCATTTATTCATCATCTTCTCATTAAAACCCTTTGATTGATTGAATCAAACTTGAAAAATAATCATATCAATCAAATTTTATCATTTCTCTCTTAGCACTAAATTCATTACTATTATTTATTTAAAGAGAAATATTTTGAGAAGATTTTTGCACTTACATTGCATAAATTTTTATACATCTTCTTATTGAAATACTTTAATCGGGTGAATCTAATTTCTAATTATCATATTCATCAAAGTTTTCATTAAACACTTGAGCTATCATTTGTTACCATCCATTGAAGTGTTATTCTCTCTTTGTACTTAATTTGTTTATATTATTTATCGAGAGGGGAATTTCATTGTAAAATCACTTTGATTAAGTGTGCGTCGTATTGAAGTCCCTTAAAGATCAACATTGTATAAGGATCGGTTCTCCTTGTTGTAAGTCACCGTTGGGTCATATTGAGATCCCGTAAAGGTCAATGGTGTGGGTCGGTTGAGGTCCTGTAAAACTCAACATTGTATAAGGATCGGTGCTCCATGTTTGTAAGTCACGGGAAGCGTTGTAAAGGGTTGGATTGCACCATAAGTCAATTAACATAGTGAAAATGTCTTGCTCGTGCCGGAGAGTTTGGTAACGGGAGACGTAGATCATTGCATTGGATCGAACTTCCATAATATATCGTTTGCACTTTCTATCCATTTTACTTATCGCTTTCATATTTGCACTTATTATTTGATTGATCTACTTGCTTGAACTTGCTTACGATTATTAATTTATCAACTTATTTTTTAACTTACGTGATTATTCGAAAAAGATTTAAAAACAAATTCACTCCCCTCTTTGTTAGTTATTCTTGGGCTAACAACTAATGAATACAAATATTTGCATGACATTAACAAACAGATATAATTTAATTTATTAATTGTGAATTTTTTATTATGGATTTGAACGAAATACTTTATTGAAACAAAATTATAAAAAATAAATTGAAGTCCAATCATTTACTTAAGAAATTGTAATCAGTTGAATGAATGGATTTAATAAGGAGAATATTGGAATGTAATAGGGATAGATTTAAAATAGAATAAATATTTCTAAAATCTTGAATTCTCTTTTGGGCAAAAACCATCCAATAAGTTTGTCGTTAAGTTGGTCTCGCATACTAAAATAAGTGTCTATCATAAATCCAACTACGTACATTTTCTATAGAGAATAATTTGTTTGTTTCTAATACAAGCATAAATGTTTAAACCCTTTGACCAAAACTAATATTGTTTTGTATGAAATACCATTTATGTTCAAGAAAAAACCAAACATAGAACTTCGGAAATTTGAAATTTGAAAAGTAAGTATTACCTTTAAGCACAATGAAATAAGCTTTATATTAGAACATATTTTCATTTATTTAAACTATTAATAATTCATAGCACTGATGCACAGACAGTTAAACCTATGAAGTTCCTCTTCCACATTTCCCCTTTACAGATAGTCTAATTGCATATTTTATACATCAGTACCTGTCGTTATAGCAGCTCCACAGAGTCATGGAATTTAGTCATCCAATGGTGTTATAACAAAATCTTGAAGTGCGGTGAGTTTTGCCCGCCCTCCGTACTCTTCCGGCAAGACTTCTTCACCAACATTTCTTATAAACTCTTTCCTTTCCTCCTCATTGGTTATAATCACAATCTGTACAGATTGCCAAGATTACAGTTATCGCAGGAATTCATAAATGAGAGACACATTTATCTGAAAGCAGTACAATTCTTGCCAGTATATTCTAAGATGACAAGATTTTATCGTACTTGTACTTTATATTGCTAAACTGAATTGAATCAGAGGCCATATTTAGGCCTTGATCTTGTACCCGTGTGCTTGTGTGTTCACACACGCAGATTTGTAAGCAGTTGTTTTGAGAGCACATCATGCTTGCAAAGTAAAAATTTATCAAAATATATGAATCAAAAGTACCTTTTCTAAAGTAGCTTTCTCAAGGAAGCGGGAAACGAATCTCCAAACGCTCACAAAAAACCACGGCATGTGTAACAGGTAGCATTTGGCCAATCGCTCGGGATAGTATGCCTATACGAAGAAGAATGTCAAATTGAAATTGATAGTTAGATCAAATATAAGCATCTATATAAGATGAGATAGATCTTCAATGCATGGAAAATCACTTTAAATAAATATAGGTTAAAAGTAGCAACTTCAGCACGTATAAATATTACATCTGTTTATGTTCTTCAAAAAATTGTTTTCTTTATTTGAGAATAATAATGTCAAAAATTCCATTATTGAACTTGTGAGCTCACTAAACACAATTGTATATATTTCATTTTCTTTTGAAAATTCCGAAACATTTATCTCCTTTTACATTAAATTTGATGTTCGGAGGCCCTCTCGCATCACTAATACATCCAATTTTCAAATATATTTGGTTTGTTTGTTATTTTCATATCCATAACCACTGGAAGGATTGATTTGATCCTAGAGCTATTCAGCTTGGTCTCCTCAGACCAATAGGAGATGCCTAAAACTCCTATCAATTATTTGTATTACAGGAGAAGGAAGTCTACAGCTACCTCAATCAGGACCTCGTGAGAACTGACAAAGTGAAAGTATTATAGTGCTTTGAATGTGCATGCCTATTGCTATTAGGAAGCAGGTCACTCAGGTCTTTCACCCATCATTTTAACTCAAATTTGTTTCTTTTCAACAGCTTTCACCAGGCCTTTGTCAATCGAATATCCAGTTATAAGTCCCTTCCACTGCCCAAGAAGCTATTAGATTGAAAAAATGTAAAATGAAATGGATGATGTTCCTTATACAATGGATTGGTTTCCTTCCCATCCATAAACCTCAAACAAATACATAATTGAGGTTTTTAGCAAGTGAATATCATCAAAGCATACCCAAATTTCTGGTGCTCAGACGTAAATGTTGGAATCCTTGTTAACCATGAAACTTGAACTTCTCAATATGAATTTAAAAAGGCTAGCTACCAACCTGGAGTACGAGTAAAATTACTTCAGAGAAGACAGACACCAGTAAGGGTGGAAGAAGGTTATATACTAATGCTAAAGATTTCGCTACTATGTAGCATTCAGGAACCATACAATAACATGGAAATTGAATGTATTATATAAAACAAATTGCAACATAACAAGTATTAATAAATAAATAAAATTCAGTCCATGTCCCTTTAATTCATTGATTACATATGGATACAAAGCTTTTTACTTACCTTTTGTTTGTTTTTTTACTTTTGCAACTATATTACGAATTGAAGCAGATACGTGCTAATTATACCCCAAAAGATCTAGAATACCAAGCCCAATTCTAGCACTATTCTGTCTTTCTTGCCACACTATATGCTTCTAGTAAAGAGCAACATACTATGAATCATTTTTGAAAACCACAGAAGATCTTACCTGCAAGAACTGAAAACCAGTTATTAAACCACGGGCATCAACATTTTTGTAAGAAAGTTGTTTCAGATCAAGAATGCCAATCAACTTTTCATTTCCGACTTCTCTGCCTTTGAAAGAACTGAGAGCAGGAAAAAAAAAAGAGTCAGAACCAAACGTCACAGCTCAGAACAGAAGATACAAGCCATTTGGTAATCTTATACAGCAGCAAATCCAACAGAGATGGCAGGTTTCTAACCCACAAGTAAAACTTAAATAGCATTGAAGGCACCCAAAAATCCTAACTACGAGTAGTCTCTTAGCTTTCTGACACATAGCTATACTATGTTTAAATATATCATGTACCCATCAAATGTGATACCCGTGCTTATGTACTTGTCATAAACGGAATGGACAAAACGTCTTTTGTTTATCCCTCAGCTTATAGGAATCAAGTGGCTCTACAAAAAGAAAAGATGACATTGCTGCCTAGAGAGACCTTGGCTCTTTGGTAACATTATGTGCTTGAGAACCATTTCGAAAATATAGAAAAATGGCTCTACCATGATTTCTAACCGACAAGTTAAATTTTTGTGACTAAGTAGTAACATGGTATGCCCTGTTATGTTCAATTGTTTTATTTTTTTCAATTAGTTAAGTGAAGGAGGAAAGGGGTAGAATAGGAATTTAGTTATTGCAGATTGCTTAGAGAAGGGAGAGAGTTAGTCCGTTTGATTCATTCAGAAAGTTAGGAATACGTTGGGGAGAGAGTCAAGCCTCTCGAGTGCTCGACAACACACTTTTTAATTTCCCTTTAAAATTTTCATTGCAATTTCATATTGGTTTTCATTTAATTTATACACAACTAAAAAACAACTCAGGTTTCTATCATCACATTGATGATGTTTTTACACACCAAGTGGCAAGTATGAGCACAACTAGTATTAGATGAAGAAATATTGAAGCATTATATTGTCAATTATTTAATTATAACCATACAAAAACATCAAAAGCAGTGGACAACATATTGCATATTAAATTGTTAAATTTATTTGTTGTGACATAAAAATACAAGATCACATTTTCCTTTCTCCTTTTTATAATTCTAAAAATTTCTGATCATCATTTGACAATGATCAGAAATTCAGCATAGCTCTTTACTTCACATAGTCATCTTTTTAGAGGTAAGGAAAGGATTTGGTGATAGCACAACAAGATCCTAGATGGACTACTATATACAATACAATCATCATATGTGCAACTTAATCATCATAGAGTTATCTGAAAATAATACCTTGCAATAGTTTTGTCCAGTACATGAACCACAAATTCTGCACCAAGGGAAACATTTCAAATCAGAAATTCTTGTCAGTGCATCAGATTCTGGGAATGGGTGAAGAACTAGGGTTCTAGAAACGCACTTTACATACACGCATAGTTTACTTTCTTCTATAAATGGCAACAAGAGACATGCTACAGTAAAAGATATAGAATTAATCAAAAGGGATATACAATGAGATGTACAGAAAGTCAGAAACCGGGACCGGCCTACTTATTGCCATTGGTTAGGAGAGTGGATTAGTTTTCTGACAACTTTGCTTAGTACTTTATCTGGAATTTCTCAAACAAAGCACAACACTATTTCTTATGATAAAAGGACATTATGTGCCTTCCCAGTTCTACCGATTTATGTGTTTTTATTAAAACCGATGAAGCAAGAAGCTATCATCTAGAACCATATTCTCCCGAATTGGAGAAAAACAATTTAAATCTCATAAACAGTGTTGGTTTGGCATGCACAATGCAAACTAAGCATTTATGCAAATTCGGCATTCAAGTCTTCATAAATCTCTTTGCCAAAAGTTAGGTGGCTTGATTGGAAGAGCAATTCCACACACACACACACGTGTGTGTGGTTTCATAGAGGTTCTGGGAGCTAATTGTAAATACAAGGGAACAAGACAAGGAGGAAAAGCACATGTTAAGTATCTCATGCTTTGTGGCAATTCATTTTAGGAGGAACATACCATAGGTCCACCAGAATCATAAATAATTGTCAACCATTTGCCATATTTTATTGCTTTCCCTTTACTCATTAGTCATTAGGCATTTCTTATCTAGTGGATAGAATTATCACTTTATCAGCATGTTTGGCAAAGATTAAAAACTTTATGTAAGTTTAAAATAAATAATATTTTTATTGGTTAATGTTAAAATGAGTAAGTTACTTATTTTGATTTTTGACACTAATAAACATGTTACTTCCACAAAAACTTCTTTTCTAACTACATAAAAGGAAAAAAAGTAATAATAGATTTACATAATGGTTTACGTATTGAGAAATAAATTATGCAAACAGTAATTAGATGTTATCTCCACCACCAGAACAGGAATAAGATTATGACACATACAATAATTGATTTCTTGGTCAAAATATTCCCAAACCTCAATAAAATTACAAATTATAGGAGGCAAAATTTGTTTAACCCCACAGGGGCATCATGCCTGAAAAGATTATCCGATGACCCCATGCCTACAATTCAATCATGTTAAAATAATTGATAAACTTCAGATTGTCAAAATCAAAACTTTTCCCTTTGTTGGCCCATTAACAAGGCAAAAGAAAGATAAGAAGACGTCCTTCTGTAACTAAAAACTAGATTCTTAGTCACTAACTTATAAGCTAAAAGAAGTAATAAGTAATTACTCTTGAATTGGAGTTGATCTTTGGAAGGAAAATGCTTGCCGGCTTTGAATAACAGTAACGGGCACCCATTTTTCGATAGGCCTTGCAAATAAGCCTTTCTTGCATTCAATTCATCTGGAACTTCAGAATCAGGGATGTAGTTAAGTGGGACAAATGAAGCCCTCCATTTCATCCACTGCACGAACATCTTTGCAGCTTTCTCTGTGTCCATTGATCTTGCAATCAAGAATCTCATCAAAGTGGGATCGTTGTACTTCTACAAGAAAGTGGAATTTTTTTGATAAGAAGCTTGTATTTTGTAAGAATGCTATTATGAAGAGGATGATTAAACATTACCTGAGCTGAACAACCAAGCTTTTCAACTGACTTTCTCATCTGGGTTAGTGCATGTTCATTATTTTGGCTCATTTTTGTGTTTTTGGGTGAGATGAGGGTATTATCTTCACCCAACAAAATGTGGAGGTAGGGTGGAGCCAAGGACTAGAATCTTTATACTCTTCTTCGAATGGCTGTCCAGTGGACAGCTCTAATAATTCCAATTATGAATTTTTGTTATTTGGCCCTGTTTAGAAGGTGTTAAAATCGGATTTTCTGAATATTTTGACAAAAGTTGATAACACATATAATTAAAGAAGTAGTAGATTCTATAAAATATATAATTAAAATTAATTGTTGATTTTAATTTAACCAAACAGGGTAACACACTTCTCATTAATTTATATTGACTACCATTATTTTAACTATTTTTTTCTACTTATTCATTTTTATCACACATTCGTACAACAAAATATTCTGCACGTAAATTCAAAATTTTTTCCTACTTTTTAACTATACATTTTCTAAAAAATCACTGTTCAAAACTTTATTTTACCCAAAAATCACTATTCAAACAAGGGCTAAAAGTTTTCACAAGCTTTATATAATCTTTTTTCTTTTCCATTATCTCAACGTGCCCTTTTCACTTTCTTATTTTTTAATGTGTCTTTTTATTGAACGATTCAACAAAATTGCGTAGTTAGAAAAACAGTGTAGACTTGAGAAAAAAAAAGATACTATATTATTAATTTTTGCACTACTTTGATCATTTTAAAACAAATTTCTCAAAAGCGAAAGTAACATAGAATATTCATCATTATACATAAATTTATGAGTAATGCTATTTACCTCAATTGAAATTATAATTACAACTTATATGGTGTTAGATGATAGACTAAATAAAATGTAGAATTAGATGACTCATTTAATTATACTTATTATTTAATGTCACTTTTAACTAAGATTATAATTCTATCATTACTCTAAATTTATTCAATTGTACTTTCTTGACTACTGTGACCTTAGACTTGAATTTGTAAGGCATAACGAATCATGATCATCCACTTGTTAGTGTGTTGGCAATCATTATTGATTAAAATTCAACTCCCGCGGCACTAGGTAATTGACTATTCAAGCATTATTCTTGATTTTGAGTATTTAAATATCTTAATTTGTTACCTTTTTGACATTCGAGTAGTGTTTATTTTCAAATAAGTGATTTACTTATTTTTTGCACATTTGAAATATTCACTTGTTTATTTATATAAGTAAAATCTTATACTAATCATTATTTCAAATTTTTTTCTCAAACTCATTTCAACTATATATATTACGAGCTTGTTTGGTAGGAATTTTTTTGAAGAAGAATTGATTTTGAATAGTGATATGATGGGAAATGTGTGGTTGAAAAAGAAGAAAAAATTATCGATGTGATGGAAAATATTATTTTATTGAAAAATGTGTGGTTGAAAATGAGAATTGATTTAC